TACTAGACATCAAATTGAAATTGAAATTTCACCAAATGACTAGGATATATCACTGAGGAGCAGAATTTAACTTTTCTAATGGTATAGCATTGGAATTCTTGTGACATTTCCATAGATTATTATCATAGAAACCATGAAAATGATCAAATAAAATCATCCATATTCATTGAAGGGAAAAAATTACCTTGAATACGCGAACGCTTTGCACGAATTCGAAATCGAGAAACCGAGTACCGAGAACAAATTGACCTTGAAAAAACAGAGTTCAACGATTTCCTTGCAGAAGTAAAACTTTTCTGAGATGCAAAAATTAGATGCCTCGGAGCAAGTGCGTCCATATCCACTACTCCAGCACACCAGAGAAACATGGGAGTGACACAATCCATCTCAACAAAACCTATAAATCGAATAGAAGAATTAAAAACGTTCCTATAACCATTTCAATTCTCCACAGGGAATTCATAATTAACAACAACATCATGATGCGAAAATGAAAAACCTCCAATCTATTTGAATCCGCAGATATCTAATCGAATGGCGGTAATATTTTGTTCTTGGATATGAAAGTAATCTTAATCGGAAATTGCTCAAAGAAAAAGAGTGAATACTGAAACTCACCGGAAACTGAGATCGCACGACGAAATTAGGATAGAAAAGCAGCCATCGACGACGGGAAAATCGGAAGAGAGAAAAAGAAAGCGTATGTCACACGGAGCCTAATGGATTTTTGTACCATGACCTAAAAATTTGTATTTTATTTTTATTTTTTTTAAGTACTATTTTTTTTTTCATAATTTATTTTGTTGGCTTAACATTTTTTTTTAAATATAATTTTTTTTTGTTTTTTATTTAATTCACTCTTGCTCTCGATCCCGCTCGAACTCTAGCTCACTTTCTCGCTCTTACTTTTTTGCTCTCGCTCCCTCGCCCTTGCTTTGTTAGCCAGTCAATCCGTGGCAACCTCACAACAAAGAGTGAAATGCCAAGTCCGTTCTCCAAAAAGTATGTGTTATCAAGGCTTTTCAGTGATTCAACGTGCAAAATCAGGCCCCAAACTCGTTAGCCCCCTAGATAGCGCTATAAATAAACTATTAGTATCAACCGTCAAACATTGCTGAAAAAAATAACTTCACTCGTTATCGTTGTCACTAGATTATGAAAAAAAAAAAAAAAATAGGAGCGAGAGAGCTAGAAAAAAGACTAATTAGGAGATCGAGAATTGAGAAAAAGGAAGAAAATTAAATATTAAAATAATTTCGAAAAGGGTCACGTCAAATATCATCTTGACCCCAATTTTTATATAGGTCGATCTATTAAATTAAGCGAGAAATAATTTTTTTTAAAATCAATCTATTAAATTATTATTTTAAAAATTAATATATACAACTATTTATATCATTCATTTATTCATAATTATTTTCACTTCAATTTAATTTAAAATCATATAAAAAAAATATAGATCATTTTGTTTAAATAACCATAGAAAAATAGAAAATACAACTAAATGCCTAAAATTCTTTTTTAACAAATTAAAGTGATATAATTAAAAAAATAATATAATATATATATATATATATATATATAAATTTCTTTTTTAAGATAGAAAATACCTAAAATTCTTTTTTAAGAAACTAGAGTGATGTAATTAAAATTTTAAGAAAAATATATATAAGTTCAAATTTAAAAAATAATAATAATAATAATAATAATAACTAATTACAATTTTTTTTTTTTTTTTTTTAAAAAAAAAGGATAATTGTTCCTAATCTTCAGGTCTTGGATTGAAGATGAAGATCTTCTTCTTCCTACAAATCTTCATCAACCCGAACCAGACAATCCCGGCGGCGGTCATGGAAGCACTGACCAAGAACACGGTGGTATGCGTAAAAACCATCAAAACCACCAAAAACGCCGACGGAACCAAACACATCACGATCAATCCCGGCAGCTCCAACGGAACCTTGAACGGCCTTTCCATGGCGGAATGCTTCCATCTCAGCCATAGGAACGACGAGAACTCCAGCAGCATCCCCAAGCTATACATGAAATTCGCCGACGCAACAATGTCCGTGAAGTCCAAATACGAAACCCCAACAGAGATCGCCGTGCAAATCACAATCCCAATCCATGGAGTGTTGAACCATTTCGCCCTCGCCGCGAAGAATTTGGGTAAAATCCCAATTTCCGCCATACCCAGAATTTGATATGCACTGCTACTTAATTGAGCTTCGAATAGTCCAATCGCCGACAAGCAGGCTCCGATTTCCAGGAGGATTTTGAGCCATTTTCCGGCGAGTATCTCCGCCGCTTGGGCGTGGAATCCGGATTCCCAAGCGGATTGTTGAATGTCGACGGCGCCGGTGACGGCGAGAAGTGGGATTAAGTAAGAAAGACAAGTGATAATTACTGATATGAACAGAGCAATTGGGAAGGTTTTTTTGGGTTTTTCTACTTCTCCGGCGAGTGTGCTGACGTTATCCCAGAAATTCAGGTTCCAAAACAGAGTGTTGAGGTACAGATTCCAATCTGTTTTTATCGCTTTATCGCCGGAATTTCCCCACCGGTGGAGTTTGATTTTGGGGATGGCGATTAATGTCATTAAGATGAAGGGTAAGATGGATAACAGAGCTAGAACGACGGCGACATATCCGACGATGGTGAGGCCAATGTAGTTGAGGGCGGCGAGGACAACGGAGGAGGCGAGGAGGGCGGAGCGGCGGGGCCAGCCGGATTGGAGCTGGGGGGCGATTTTCTGAATGTAATTGATGCAGAGAACAGGGTAAGCGGCGATGTTGATAACGCCGCTGAGGATTTTCCAGGTGCCCATGAGAGAGCCCCAGAAGGATCCAAAGGCTGTTTGGGCCCAGATGACGAAGCCGCCGTTGCCGGGGAAGGCGGTGGAGAGCTCCGCCGTGATCAGCGCCTCCGGGACGCTCCATATGAAAGGGAAAACGATGAAGCCTATGATGGCGAGGAGAGGTCCGGCGGCTTGGACGGCTGGCTCTTCGCCATAGGGGCCGCCGGCGACCTCGAAGTAGATGAGGAAGATGAGGGGGATTAATGTGAGCTTTTTTGCGGCGGCGATGGGGGAATTTGGGGTGTGTCTGGGGAGGATTGGAGGAGGTAAGTCGGAATTTGAAGTGGGTTTTTGATGGGGGTGTGGATTTGGGACACGAATTCGATGATCCATTGATGAATTATGAGAAGATGAAGAATTTTGGTGAAGAAAGGGGACTTTAAATAGATGGATTATGATACAATTTGGTTAGGATTTGAATTAATATGATTGAATCCATTTAGAATCTTAATCAAATAGATTTGATTTAGTTTTACATTTTTTTAATAAAATTTTTATTGAAAAATGAAAATTATTTGTTAAATTATTTTAAAAAATTATATTTTTAATATATATATATAACCGTCCAAATTCAAATCAAGTCCACCGCTAGCAGATATTGTCTACCCTTAACCGGTTACATATCACCCTAGGCCTCATGAACTCATGATTTTTAAAACGCACTGATAGGAGAAGTTTTCATATCCTCATTAGGAATTATGCTTCCCACCACTATCAAATATGATTCACTTTGGCCAGATAAGATTCACTTTGACCCATTACGTTTCATCGTCAACTTTACTGTTTTTAAAATGCGTTAGAGGTTTCCAAACTCTTATAAGAATGTTTCGTTTTCCTCTCCCACCGAGGTGGGATCTCACAATCCATCATGCTTTTCACCGCTGTCAGATATGGTCCACTTTGGCCCGTTACGTATCATCGCTAAACAATCCACCATGCTTCTCACTGCTGTCAAATATGGTCCACTTTGGCTTGTTACGTATCGTCGTCAACTTCACTATTTTTAAAATGTGTTTACTTGGGAGAGGTTTTCACACTCTTATAAAAATGCTTCGTTTCCCTCTCCAACCAAGGTGGGATTTCACAATCCACGATGCTTCTCACCGCTATCAAATATTCCTCACTTTGGTCTGTTACATATCGTCATCAGTCTCACTGCTTTTTAAAACGCATCTTAGGGAGAGGTTTTCACACCCTTATAAAGAATATTTTGTTCCTCTCTCCAACCCATGTGGAATCTCACAATCCACCCCCTTTAGGGACCTAACGTCCTCGCTAGCACATCGCCCAGTGTTTGGTTATGATACCATTTGTAAAAACCCAAGTCAAGTGCTTATAGATATTGTCTTGTTTAACCCGTTATGTATCACCGTTAGTCTCACAGTTTTTAAACGTGTCTGATAGGGAGAGATTCCCACACCCATATAAGAAATGTTTCGTTCCCCTCTTCAACCCATGTGGGATCTCACAATCCATCTCTTTTAGGGGCCTAATGTGGCTGGCACACCGCCCAGTGTTTGGCTATGATACTATTTGTAACAACTCAAGCCTACTGCTTATAGATATTGTCTTGTCTAGCCCGTTATGTATCACCGTCAGTCTCACAGTTTTTTAAACGTGTCTGATAGGGAGAGGTTTCCACACCCATATAAGGAATGTTTGGTTTCCCTCCCCAACCCATGTAGGATCTCACAATCCACCTCCTTTATGGCCTAATGTGGCTGGCACACCACCCAGTGTTTGGCTATGATACCATTTGTAACAACTCAACCCCACTGTTTATAGATATTATCCAGCCCGTTATGTATCGTCGTCAGTCTCACGGTTTTTTAAATGTATCTGACAGGGGGAGATTTCCACACCTATATAAGAAATGTTTCATTCCTCTCTCCAACAGATATGGGATCTCACAATCCACTTCCTTAGGGACCCAACGTCCTCGTTGGCACACCGTTTGGCGTCTAGCTCTAATACCATTTGTAACAATTCGCCCACCGCTAACAAATATTGTCCACTTTAGCCCATTACATATCCCCATCAGCCTCACCATCTTAAAATGCGTCTACTAAGGATAGGTTTCCACACTCTTATAATGAATGTTTCGTTCCCCTCTCTAAACCGACGTGGAATCTCACAATATATATCAATTAATTCCAAAAATAATATAAATGGATCATAAACTAAACACAGTTACTCCCCCCACCTCAGAAGAGTAAATTACAATGAACAATGAACTAATACTAAACAGAGCACCTAGAAACTAACAGAAATGTAAGAACTTGAAGGATTTATGTGCTCAATAAATTAGCAATCTGAAGAATGGTAAGAACTTGAAGAAGAATCATTCATATCAAAACATTAAAGCCCACGAAAAGATGAACAAAATCAAGAGCTGAAATGAAGAGACCTGCAGCTTTGAACTTACACCAGGAAGCAGACCTGAAGGCCCCATGGCTGCTTCAGGGGAAAATCCGCCTCCACCGCGTGAATTGGAACTGTTTTTCAATATTTGAAACAGATTAGAACTCAAGTAATTGATATATAAACAGATGATTTCAATTTGGTGTAATTTCCCACTTACCTTCCTGTGAATATGCAGGACCCATGACCTGCAAAAGATGGGGGAAGAAAGTGAGAGAGATTGGATTGAAGGAGAAACCCGAACAGTCGATATCAGATCGAGTCATTTGAACGAGCATTACAAACAGTATAGGATAAAAACTGCTAGATATTCGTGGGAGAATCGAAAATCGGCTAGTTGAGGATGGCAGGTGCGTGCACAAACACTGTGTGGCACACCTTTACGAACAATGTTAAGCAAAATAGAATGATAGAAGAAACTTATGTATGATATATACAAGCAACCTAACATGAATACGGGACCACGGGTTGTATATTATGTAACAGCTTAACCGATGTAGGATCTCACAATCTACTCCTCTTCGGGGCCAAGCGTCCTCGTTGGCACACTGCGCGGTGTCTAGCTCTGATACCATGTGTACCAGCCCAAGCCCACCGCTAGCAGATGTTGTCCTCTTTGGACTTTCCCTTTCGGGCTTCCCCTCAAGGATTTTAAAGCGCGTTTACTAGGGAGAGGTTTCCACACCCTTATAAAGAATGTTCCGTTCCCCTCTCCAACCAATGTGGGATCTCACAATCCACCCTCCTTCAGGGCCCAGCGTCCTCGCTAACACACCGCCTGGTGTCTGGCTCTAATACCATTTGTAACAGCCCAAGTCCACCGCTAGTAGATATTGTCATCTTTGGGCTTTCCCTTTCAGGTTTCCCCTCAAGTTTTTAAAACGTGTCTACTAGGGAGAGGTTTCAACACACTTATAAAGAATGTTTCGTTCCCCTCTCCAACCGATGTGGGATCTCACAACATAACTCATGTTAGGACGTCCACCCGGATTAAGGATGTCCAACTAGTGCAAGGAGAAGTGAGGACAAACACCAAGTAATAACAAATAAATAACTAGGTCAAGCATCTACTTACTAAATCGAAGGAACAAGGAGAAGAACGGTTAAAAGAACTTACTCGGATCAATTGCCGTAAGCATAGCGGTGCCATCGAAGTCACACGTTCCACCAGCACTATGAGTTTTCTGATAGTAATCATTATATGCATAAGAAGCATGGTTAGTAATGCTATTAGGGAGAAAGCATGGCCTCCCACGCTGAATAGCAGCACAGTTAGCCCCTCCTTGTCCACAAGCCCAATTCAGGCCATCTTCCAGCTTATCTTCATCCGCACCATCTTTAGCCACACAATAAACTGCAGAAGAATTTGCTGTCGAACGACCCGAGATCAAGCCCAAAGGATAAACAGCCGAGCCATTGGGGAAAAGTATACCCCAATTCTTTTCCGAGATCGGACCAGGCCTCTTGTCTTCATTAAACAGCTCGTAAAGGTACGTGTTGATTGGTGTCGTTGGCTGACTAGGTGGCCCTGAATCGTTTGAAACTCTCCTGATCAGATTGCTAATGTAGGTGCCAGCATTTTGAATTGTAGCATCAGGTTCATTTGCTCCACCAAACCATGGCCAACCCGTCTCAGTAACCACAATAGGAATCCCAGAAAACTTGAACGCATAGATCGAGTAGTACGTTGCATCAACCATAGCATCGAACATACTATTGTAATGGAAAAGAGTGTTCGGGTCAACAATCTGCTTAACTGCGGGAAGTGACCGGAAAAGTGCGTAATCTAATGGAAAAATTCCATTCTCAGTAGTGTATCCATAATAAGGATAGGCATTCAACATGTAGTAGGACTTCGTGTTCTTTAAAAACTGGAGGAGCTGAGAGATAGTCGAGTTCCACGAAGCGTTAAAGGTAGCGGTGGACGGGGGAAAAGGCCGGGGTATTAAGTCCATCGATTGGGGAGTGGAAACTTTGATCAGATCGTTTAGATTGGCGGCAACCAAGGCTTTATGTAGTGAATACATGGCTGGAACCAAGACTGGACCAACATGAGGAATTGCTGTAAGAACCTCACTGCCGACGGCAATGGCTGTAATATTCGTTCCCGGCAAGTGAGCAGCAACGTTTTTGTTAACCCAGGCTGCAGCAGCTGCTGGAGATTCACCAATCCTGAGAACTTCCTCATTCATGACGCCAACGATTACCTCAATGCTACTGTTTGCTAGGGCCTTTAGCAGCTGGGAATCGGCATTATAGAGGCGGAGATGAGTAATCCAATGGGTTTTAAGAATTGCAACGATATCTGAAGCTGATGGAAGATTCGAGACGTCGGTTCCGAGGTTAACCCCCACAAAGGCACCTATTGATGTCAAGAACACATCTCAGTAACAAATAGATAATTGGCTATATTCCACCAACTGAGATCATATTCCAATCAATCTGAATTTAGAACAGGAACTACGAAAGGATGTTAAAGAACTATACCTAATGCATTGAAACACATGCCAAATAGAAGTAAGATCACAGCTCCATGGCACCTTTCGTGCATTTTTGACGACTTTTCAGCTTCCCACTACTTACTCTGCGTCGCAAGAATCAAACTCCCGAAACTCGATTGAGAAAGCACGAACAATCTGCAATCGAGTCATGTGAAATGTCAAGAGTTTGGGGGAAGAAAAATTCCACACTCAAAACATTACAAAAGAAGTTGTTTCTGCAGATCCTCGGACGAGACAAAAGCATTAAATACGTAAACATACAGACCAAACATTGACAAACACACACACAAAGTAGCTTAGCTAACAAATGAGACAGCCTTTCCATCCCCATTTAAGAAAGTATAATGGCACAAGCCCCACCATTAACCGATATTGTCCACTTTGACCATTACATATCACCGTCGGCACGGTTTTTAAAACGCACTTCTAGGGAGAGGTTTTCCACATCTTATACGTAATGTTTTGTTCCCCTCTCCAACCAATGTGGAATCTCACAATTCACCCCCTAAGGGGCCAGCGTCCTCGCTAGCACACCACCTAATGTCTGGTTTTGATACTATTTGTAACAACCCAAACCCACTGCTAGTAGATATTGTTTGTTCCATTACGTATAACCGTCAGTCTCACGGTTTTTAAAACGTGTCTGCTAGGGAAATGTTTCCACATCCTTATAAGTAATGTTTCGTTCACCTCTCCAACCAACATCGGATCTCAAAGAAAGATCGGAGAATTTCAAACTAGTAGTTCAGCTTCCAAAGAACATCATAAACAGAAACCTCTCTATCATTCTACTTCTACAAACTAAGAACTACTGGAAAGCCAAAGTTCATAAATCTTGAACATAAAAACTCAGCCATAAACTACAAAACAACAAAGAACCCAGCTAAGAAAACTAAAAACAAGAAGTGGGCAAGTACCCAATCTGAAAGATCACTGCAATTCCAACAGATTTCAGTCAGCTTCAGAACAGAACCAAACCACTAAACGCACAAACAGAGATTCTCAGCAGCCCAGAACAGTGAAAAAGCTTCAGAAACTCAAGTAAAAGAAAATCAACAGTTTCAACTTAAAATCAGTCCCAAAACAACAAGAATCTTACCCCACCGTGTCCTAAACAGGGCTGATCTTGTGATATTGAAAAGAATGTCGACTGAAGGTGTAAACACTGACAAGAAATGCGAAGAAAATGGCATACCAAACTTAAAAACTTTATTGTATGCCTTTTTCTTTTCTCTTTTTGAGGAAGCAAAGGGGCATGGATTCTCGTGCAGAAGGGATCGTGATCATCGTCGCCGTTCATTTTGGTTTGATGGGGGGATTGGGGTTTTTTTTTTCTTTCGTTTGGTTTGAACAGAAAAGAGGATAAAATTTGAGCAAGAGAAGAGGGGAGAATGGGTAAGTGGGGACTAGAAATTGTTCGTTTTTTCTTTAAATTTAACCCCAAAAGTCGTTTGTGAAGATTCGATTTGGAAGAACAAAGTGATGGGTAGCGGCGTGAGGGAGAAATGAGATGATTTTGCCGTTTAATACAAAATTGGGTATGTAGAACACTTTTTTGTGGCATTTCACTTTTTTTGTTTTGTTTTTTTTTTCAAATTTTGAATAATTTACACTATTAAGTCCTTAAAGTTTTGTCAAATTAGTTAAAAAAAATAGTTTAGAGGCAGATTTAAAAAACCCAATTTGATGAGCAAATGAACGATACTTTAACGAGGTGAATCATTCATTAGTAATTGCTATCTATCAACTTTATGAACGTACTTAAACGAGTAAATAAATTACAGGTTTTCATTAACAATGTTCAAACAAATCGAAAACAAAAAAATAGTTTGAATGAAATTCAATTAAAAATCTTCTCGAAATGTTTAAGTTATTTATGTTTATTTTTTTATAGCACTAACATCATTAATGCATAATTAACTATGATTTTTTTTATATATACTCATAAATGTCCTGAAAATATTTTTAATTATAAATTTTGATAAATAAAATAAAATTAGTGACTTATAATAATTTATGGGATTTTATTTGAATTACAATAAGCTTCAAAATTCTAAGTGGATAAAATTAAAATTTGCAATTTAAGGATATTAATATGATAGATTATTTTAAATGAGGTGGTGGCTTCACTACTAAAAAATAAAATAATAAAATAAAAAACAATATTTATTATATAATTATTTGAAAATTATAACGGCTCAGGGAGGGTTAATGATGGAATGAATTCAAGAAATATTCGTGGACGAGAAGGTGGACCCCACTTCACACATGGTTGACGTGGCCAACTTACTTAGCTGGAAGCAATTATCTGTGAAAATTATTTATTTATTTATTTTATTATTATTATTATTTTCATCCACGGAAAATATATAACTAGCATAAAAAAAATATTATCAGAATGATAAATATTTTTAATAATTTGACTGTTATTTATTATTTAAATAAGTTGATAATATGATGATAAAAGAGCTTGAAATATATTGTAATGCATCACCACACCAGGAAACAAGAAAAAAAAGTTCTCAAAATCTTGATAACGCATAGATTCCTAAGAACGAACGAACGCTACCGAACAACAAGATAAACGAAATGATGTCTATAGCGGAAACATCAAACTAAACAATGGCAATAGTACATTGTAGTTGTTCTCGACCAAGTTTCGAGTTGTTTTCCTGTTGACTTCAGCTCCCATCTCCGTTTGTTGCGGACTTCAGCTCCAGCTAACGCTCAGGCTTCAGCCTCTCAATGGGCTTGGACTTCGACTTCTGCCCCGTGCTGGACTCGGGCTTCTACTTCTCGACCCGTCGAGTCGTGGAGATCGGGAGAATGACCTACCACGGCTCAGCTGTCGTGGGAAAGACCTCTCTCGACTATTCCGTCTGTCAGGAGGGGACGCCGATCTGCATTGACATATAGAAAAAATTGTGGCTCAAGCAGACTGAACAAAGAACTAGGAAGTAACAAGCAATGTATTGAAAGCATACCTTGAGTAAGTTCTTGGTTTTGGTGGCGGGGATGCATTGTCATAACTGCGGGACCTAGACCTGGCATGGCGCGGAGCAGGTGAACGAGAATACCTTGCATGGCGTGGAGCTGGGGAACGCGAATATCGTGGCGAACGAGAAGACCTTGGAGGAGATCTTCTTCGATCATAAAAGCGTCCACTGTTCATAAAACTGAAATATTAATTTTGTTTAACATATGCTATACTGAACTGTAAACAATTGATACAAGGCCAGCTTCATACCTTCCTCTCTCCCTCGTCCTCATATCAGATGGCTTCTTCCTGTTTTCCTCAGCATAGACCACAGTCAACTCCCGACCAAGAAGAACACAGCCATCCATCTGATGCTTAGCATCTGCAGCATCAGCGGGATCTACATATTGAACGAAACCGAAGCCACGTGGTTCTCTGCAAAATTGTTGCACAAAAGAAGCAAAAGGGGGAAAGTTATAAAAGAAAAGTTAAGGTAAAGCCACAGAATCAGGTCAGGAACTTGGCCTGCTATAAACCTTCTCTAATTAAACTGTCCACCATATCCCTTGGAATATAAGCAAGCACTTGGCTGCTGACCTTGCATGTGTCAGATTTAAGATGACTTGAAATTCTTCAAAGACTTGGGAACATCTTCTATGTACTCAAATCCAACTTCCTTCCAATCTTCACTACCATTAACATCATCTTCAATAGAACTCTAATTACTTGATGTCTTCTTCAAAACATTTTTCACTGTTAAATCTTCAAACGTTCAATAAACAGACCTAATATGTGATTTAAGGAAAAACAAAACAAAAAAGCAAAAGAACCAGAAAGAAATGCCTCTATCATCAGATGCACAATTTGAAAGATGAAACACACTACAGGGGTCTACTTCAAAAACTTCATCAATAACTTATCCCAAGGATTGTGCTAAAACCATTTTGTTCAAAAGCAAGGAAATCATTGAAAACATGTTCTCTCCGATACCACTAAATATATTATATCAACAGACACTAAAAACGTTGTATAAAATTTACAGAATTACTTAAAAACCATATGAACAAAGTATAAAATTGTATTTTTTTTCTAATTGAAAAAATTAACACTTCCCACGTATCTGCAAATCCTACAATACAGCTCAGATATGCTCACCCAGTATGATAATCCTTTGGTAGGTATATGTCCTTAATGGCACCAAACTGTCCAAATGGTCTACGAAGATCCTCAGGTCTGTGTCAAAAAAATAAATTTAAATAAATGGTACACCAGGTTATATCATATTTTTACTATAAATTGCTTTTTAAACAACATCTTGAATATATTTGATCAGCAAGCAAGAAATAATAGCAGTATGCAGTAAATGCGTTTTAAGAAAACAATATGCAGTTAAAAAAATTGGTACCGCAGCACGAACAGTGATATATCAATCTATTACTAATTTCAAACTACACAGAGTTCTACAAAGCAACTTGCAATTCCGACAAGACCCTGCAAGAATGCAACCAAATTAAATTCTTATATCCAGACACGAAAGACTCATCTCATTTCATGGATGCAGGTCAGAACTGAATCACGGATGCACTGCAAGGGAGAAGAAAAATGAAAGAAGATCCACAGAATTACTATAACTTCGCTTCTGTCTAAGGGGGGAAGAAAAAAAGGCTACCTAATGTGGTGGAATACATACTATGTATTAGGGTGGAACAATGTATTTAAAGTGCGAGGCACGCTTGGCTGCAAGACTCTACAATGCTTAAGAATGAAGTTATGAAAAACTAAGTTTGCAAAAGTGCACAATAAAGACAATTTCATACAAAAATCAAATAGAATCATTAACAATAATTTCATTAAAAAAAAAACTTTAACAAATATGGGAGCTTTTGCACGAGATTCTTGAAAGATATAACAATAGCTTTCCAAAGGAGGGCATAAAACGAGGAGAAAAACAAGTCAACTAATCCCGAGACACAGCACAGCAAGCCTTATTGAGGGGTGAGTGCCTTGCCGCAAGTGAAGGGAGCGGCCTTAAGACACTTCGTAGGCTACAAATAAATAGAAGGCTCCTATAAGACAATGAAAGGAACTATAAAGAGTTATTTGGTCCATTTCATTTTGTTTCTTTCATAGCTGTTGGAATAAGAGATTTCATGATTAATATAAAATTCTAATACTTTGAGAGAGAGTGTGTTTTATAAGGGTGTGGAAACTTCTCCTTAACAGACACATTTTAAAAACCTTGAGGGTAAGCCTGAAAAGGAAAGCTCAAAGAGGACAATATATGCTGGCGGTGGGTTTGAGCGGTTACAGAAACAGATAGAACTATTCAACTTCCTTAGACTATGTGATGTCTTATTCCCCCTATCTAAGCTCCTTTCTAGCACAAAGATCTGACCACTATCAATTCAAAACAAAATAAAATAAAGCGACCCCCTTTCTCCTACAGAAGGAAAATTGGTCGAAAAACCTTCTGGGGCAATAAGAAACATAAGCATAACTACATAACATACTCATCCAGAACAAACCTGCAGTCACGGCGAAGATTACGAACTAGTAGGCTAGTGGGGAGGTCTCTTCCACGTCCCCCATAGCGCCCTCTAGGGCTAGGGCTCCGACCCCTTCTTCCATAACCCCTTGGCGGTGATGGAGTATAACTCCTACCCCTCATTTGCACAGCAACCAATGACAGAGACCCACAGTCTAAGAATCTCGCTACAGCTGTGAAAGTGAACAAGATTGAACCACTCAAAACTATTTTAACATGTAATTACAAATTCTTAAGGCAACTGAATTGATCCAAAACTGTTTCCTTGTACAGAAATCGAGAACAGTAAGCGACCTACTCAGCTACCACATAACAAGAAACCCTATCTTGATAAACCTCATATGGCATATGAAATTACAGGTCAAAAATTGGGAAAATTACCTCAAAATAGCGAAGCGGGAATAGATCTATACAACGTAACTATAGAAATATGCTGGCCGAGATTTGAAAGTGTTGCGTAAACGTGCGAACGCTTGGAAGACAGAGAGACCTTGAAGATACAGTGAATCGGCGGCAGAGAGAGAGAGAGAGAGAGAGAGAGAAGAAATTAGGGTCCGAAGATGAAATTGAAATCTTCGATCGAGAAACAGACGGCGGTGCTTCAGATTTGGAAGTTTAGGGCATCAGATTTCCACTGTAGATGAACCACACAACGACGTCGTTTAAGTGAGAAAAGTTTTATTATTAAAAAAGAGAAAAATATTTCAATAATACCCTGATATTTTTAAAAATTACATAATACCATAATACCCTTCCTTTTTTTCGACTCGTGTTTATTGAACAAGGATCGAGTTATTCCAAAAATACCCCTAACCCGATCGAACTCAATCTTTATACCGTCTTACTCTTATGGTGTTCGATAAATACATAAAAACATAAATGTACAATAAAACGTGACTATTTTCAGGTCTAAGTTTGCTAATCGAATACTCGAAGTTGTTATCGTTCAATCATTTCACAAGGATAGTTTAAGGGTTAATTGATTAGATACCCAAGAACTGTAATCTTTCCTAATTGAATAATTGGTATTTACTACTTATATCAACAATGTTTTTTTTTTTTTTTTTTGGAACATGTTTTGCTTCAAACAGTTTTGTGTTGGGTGACATCTTGAAAATTTTATTAAGATGCATATGAGTGAAAATAAAACATGTTGAAATGACTTGCATTGGTCTGTGAGGATAGTTTTCACTCTTATAAACAACTAGTAAGTAATTCAACCATGTTGTAGGGGATACTGAGAAATGCCGGAGCTATCAGATGTCGAATCCTAAACATGGGTCGTTACAATAGTAAACTATTCACCCACAAATGGATGACTGTGATATTTATTTATTTAATAAAACGGAGTTGGGGTCGACTTTCGAGCATTTAAAAGTGAGTCAGACATGTTTAATTCCTTTTAAGGACATAATTTTAATACTAAAACATTAAATTCCTCTTTGGTATATATCAATTACATAAATTTAAAAGATAAATAATCTACTTATTTATTTATTTTATTATTATTATTATTACGAGTATTTATTTATTATTATTATTATGATTGCGAATATCCTTTTTATTAGTAGTAGTGAAAATAAATATTCACGAGCACCGGACAAGGACATAAACTTAGCATCTGATTTCATTCTCTACTGTCGCATAAATTTCTATTTATTCTTCGTGGCGAGTGTGGTGAGTTTTCTACAATAATTTTTTCTATTTAATAAAAAAAATTAAAAAATTAAATGAATTAAAAAAATATCTTAATAAATTCAATAATATTTCATAAAATATATATATAAAGGAAAAATCTAAAATATGGTAAATTTAAATTACAATGGAATTATGTATTTTTTAAATAAAAAAAAATCTTTTGAGCTTATCACGAACCAATCATAAACGAGTCCTACAAGTTTTGTCCTTTTTATTTATTTATAATTAAAAAATAATGGATCTTTATCTATATATTTAATTTTAAAATTTTAAAATATTAATCCTTTTAATTAATTTATTTTTAATTAAAAAAATCATGCATCTTTATCCAATTTATATATATTTAATTTAAAAATTACATTCAGTTAAAAAAAATCATATATATAATATGACAGTCAATAGAAATGAAATTTATTCAAATTAAAATAAAATAAAAGAATTTATAAAAGTACGAAAACGGAACCATAATTAAAAAATATTGAATTTCGCATAATTTAAATTAAAATGTTTATTCCAAAATTGTTGGAACTAAAAAAAAATATAATTTTATTTTTTTTGTAATTATTAATTTTTTATTTTCGTTTCCCCCCCTTAAATTCTGCAAAATAGCCGCGGTATTTTTGGCCTGATTCTTCTCAATGAAGTTGCAGGAGGTAACAGCAATGGCGTCGAGTAATGAATAACCAAATCCTCGTGCTGTAGCTTCCGATCAATACGACTATGTTGAGGCCAAGATTCTTCTGCACAAGCTTTATCTCCCGCCTTTTTCTTCTAAAAATTGTCGATTGCGACTTGCAGAAAAGATCGGAAACCAACCTATTCTTGCAGAATCATTTATAACTTGGGGAATTTTCGCAGCAGAAGGTAGGTAGAAGAAGAAGAATTTGTTGAAGATGATGATTCAGAGCTTGAAGGTTGCGTTATTTACTAGGCGAAGCCTTCAGAGTGTTCGTCTCCTCACTCAGAAGAGAAGCCAATGCTCTCTTCCCGACCATTCATCTGACGATGATCTCGATCAACAAGTCAGTTTTATAATTACATAATTTCCTTTGTTTAAGACCTTAGTTCAGCTCGTTCGCTCATGATTCTCTCTCGCAGGTGCTTGTTGAAGGCAGCGCTTGGTCCAGAACCGCTATTCTCAACAGACCGTCGGCTCTCAATGCTCTCAATACCAATATGGTGAAGATCTTTTTTCAGCTTGTTGTGTGTTTCAGCTACTATGAAATTACTCAGATGGTTGCATGCAAATTTCTTACTCTTAAATGTACTTGGTGTTTAGGGGGCTAGACTGCTTAAATTGTACAATTCTTGGGAAGAAAACCCTGATGTTGGTTTTGTAGTCATGAAGGTAATTTCTTTCCCTTGATGATCATGGCCTTTTCTCTTTTCCTATCAGCATCTGTTGAGTTTTTTTTTAGTTTCGTTTTAGATGATTTTTCATTTTGGCTGTATTTGTTCATTTCCATTTGCAGCTCACACTTCTTAATCTAATTTTTAAAATTTTGGATTGTCAAAGGGTAGTGGCAGGGCATTTTGTGCTGGTGGAGATATCGTTTCGCTTTATCGTTTCATCAATGAAGGTAAGAGTCTGATGTACTTTGTTGTATTAACACTCAGTTGACTATATGGTTCAGATTAATGGAATCTCATGTAAGAAAACAAAAGTAGAACAATTTTGCACAGAAGATCTTTCCATGTGTATTAATGAGCTTAGCTTCTGCGAAAGTTGAGGACCAAAGAAAAATGTAAATGTGAAGATGAAGCACAAAATATCGATATCATCCTGTGCGAAGACCAGTACATTAAATGGCCACTTGTCTTGTATGTTTTTCTACTCAACTGTCAGAGTTTATTGATGGACGTTTGTGTCTTTAATGTTTATCGACATTTTTAGGAGTAAATCAGTGAACCGAACTCCAGGAGTAGAGGGTTTCACCGAGCTATATTTTGAACATTCAGAGAGAATTTGATAAGTGCGGTTTTGTAGTTTAATTAAATAATGTTTAATGGTTTCAACAGAATGGATCTATTTATATCAATAACTTTTAAATCGATTCATGGATCTATTTATTTCACTGTATCATCCAAAGATGTTAATCATGTTACTTAGTCACTATTTTTACAACTTCTAAAATTTTTGGTAGCTTTCTTCGGTTTACTATGCCCTTTTACACTCGACAATTTATAAAGGTAATGGATGATATTAAGAATTAATCATTGACTTAGGGTTCTTTTATTAGATTAAAATATAGAATTGACTCTCATATGGTTAACTCATCTGTCATTTTTTATTAAAATTGCTATCCATGTCTTGGGTGACTGCAGGGAAGATGGAAGAATGTAAAAAGTTTTTCAGCACATTGTATACTTTTATGTACATAGTTGGTACATACCTGAAGCCCCATGTGAGTTCCTAGTTCTCAGATTTGTATCTAGAACATTTGGCTCCATTTTCATGACAATGTGGCGCGTCTTAGTACTGAGAGATGAAAATTATGGTGTTTTGTCTAATATACTCATATTAGAACAAAATTTTCTTGAGCAAATATTGTCTGTGTGGCAATGCAATATACTCATACATGTGTGTGTGTGTGTGTGTGTGTGTGTGTGTGTGAGCATTGGAAATGTCTACAGGGGCTTTTCATCAAAATAAATAGGATGTCTATGTAAAGTTATTGTATAAAGTTACTTTTGGGGAATTTAGGATGTTTATGTAAAGTTAATATAAAAAACTGACTTTTGAGGGTACATTTGGAAGTTTATGGAGATGGAGTTAGATTGATTTTTCCTGGTGGGTTTAGGGAAGGTTTGCCACTATGCCAAGGCTGACACCATCCTCTTGATTTTATTTAATTAGCCTTGACTTTTTGGAGGAGGTCTTGCATATGTGTGATGACAGAGTTATGTGACTATATATTCTTCATCAGTGTAACTTCTATCTACATCAAGTGGAGATACGTTTTTTTTAAAAAAAAAACTTTTTTGGCTCTGAAAAAATTACAAAAATGTGAAAATCCACTCCTTAATCATTAAATTGGATTCATTTCGGATGATTGTATGTCTTCTTCCACATTTATTACATGTAAACACCTAACTTCTCCAACATTCTGTTGATAATTTCCATGTAGGTGGCAATTCTAAATGGCATTACCATGGGTGGTGGCGCTGGAGTTTCACTCCCTGGGACTTTTCGAGTTGCAACTGATAAAACTGTAAGTCATAGGCACTCCATACCTTTCTTCCTTTTTTGTTAAACTCAATGTCAAAAGATAAAGTAATAGTATTGGCATGTAACTGAATACACTTGGCTATGTATGTTAGGTAATAGTTTTTTGGAGGACATTATTCACTTTCTGTTTGCCTATTAATTTAAACTTTCTGGGTGAAATTCCCTTGGTATCCCTGATTTTCATAAAGTGCCAAATATGAATCTCTAATAGGCCAGAAATAATAAATGTATACCAAAGGAAACATGTTTGGAGTGGGGGAACTTAGAGTGAGTGTAGATTGTTAGTTAGCTTGGGGTGAGTGAGAGAAGTCGTGATGGAGAAATTATAAAACAGCGTTTGCCAATTGTTTTGGACATCCAGAAGTGGCAACCTTACTTGTTGAGGTGGAAGTTACTTGTTCTAATATAACAAAAGAATGAAGTTTCTGTCAGGCAAGCTTGTTGTAGTTGAAAAAAACTACAACTCACTGGGTGCTGGATCTGCCTGGGGGTGGAGGAAGGTACAGTGGTGGGCTCTTTAGTTGACTTGTCAAAAGCCTTCTAAGCTTGTTGCATCTGATAATTTAAGAGACAATTTTATTGATGTTTGTAATTTATAAAAGGAATGTTTTATCCATAATGCTTACAAAAGACCTTCCCAATTTACCATGAGGGAGGTATGACTATAGGACAAAGTACCAGACAATTTACACCAAAAAATGACATGGTATACAACATTGTCGAAGAGCCTAGCATAAGTCCGTGTCTTCTCCATGAAATACTTTTTAATTTCTTTCTTTCCATAGATTCCGAAAGAACGTCATAATGAGATTTGTATATGGCAAAGCTTTTTTCATTCTTATAAGGGATGGTACTTTAAGACTCTGTCTAATAACTCTTTTACCTTCCTAGAAAAAGTGAGGTGTCATCTGAAGATATTGAAAATCTATAGGGGGTTTTGTGATTTGTTGTCTCTCTTGCATAAAGAGCACCAATTTGGAAAATAGTTATGTGGCTTGTTAGATATGTTTCCATGTCCCTTTGATCATAGCCGTCTTGCAATGAGAGAGCCTATACAAAAGAGGATACTACAAGCTAGCATGGTGTTGTCAGTCCAGAAAGATGTGTTTTCTCCTTCACCCACACTATAGTGAATGCGGTTGATAATGAGGTTTTAGTGCCCCCC